GTTTCCTAGTCTCATGGGGAAGCCAAAAATAACAATCAAATTGACCAGGTGGAGGTCCTGGCAACAGACCTCCATTCTTGGGGAAAAGTCTAGAGACTTTCTGAAACTCTGCATATCAACTTTTAATGGCAAAACATTTATGCCTCACTTCTTTTGATGTTGAAAAAACTAAATAAAGTTAAAGCCATATAGTCCCATCTTTATTATAGTAGCATAGCCAAAATTATCCTTAGTGGAGAAGAGTACATCTTCATTTTCAGATGCACAGTTTGAGTTCGCTGAGAGACACCTGGTTTTCAAGCCTACTTCAGAACTGGATCAGCCAGAAGCATTGCGGTAATAGAAAAGTTATGACTTTTCCTTCTTAGAAGGCCACTGTTCTCTTAGTACCGAAAATGAGTCCTGTTACAATTATTCTTTCAGTCTCCTTTCCTGGGAAGACCACTGAATAAGTGTTAAATGGAAATCAGTGAGATTAGATAAGAGCTTTCTTTTTTTCTCCTTTTAATTTAAGGGATTTAAGGGTGCAGAAATGTCTTTGAAAAAAATCAAGAGAATATTCTGATTGCTATCCCATTCAGGTGGCATGCTGGTTACTAGATCCAGATTCTAAGGAGCCAACTCTTCATAGCATAGTTACCAGTTTTCTTCCTCATGAGCTTCCACTCCTAGAAGGGATGGAGACTGGCCAAGGAATTCAAAGCCTGGGGCTGAATGTCAGCACAGAGCATTCTGGGAGATATAGAGCATCTGTAGAGTCCATTCTCATCTTCAACTCTATGAATCAACTCAACTTATTGTTGCAGAAGGAAAACCTTCAAGGTAAAACCAAGTTTCTAGTATTTTTATGTTACAGACTATGGATATGTATATTTAGTCACTCTTTATCACAGATTGGTAAATTATACATTCTATATCTACCTTTGAATTGTCTAGTGCAGGATGTCAACAAACTTTTTTCTGTAAAAGTCCAGATAGTAAATATTTTTGGCTTTGTGGACCAGATGGCCTATTATAAATATTAAACACTCTGTGGCATGAGAGCAGCCATAGACAATACCAAAACAAATGGGTGTGGCTGTTTTCCAGTAGCACTTTATTTACAGAAACATGCATCCAGTGCTAGTTTGGCCATAGTTTGCTCACCTCTAACTTTATTGTAATGAAGAGAATTAGTGGCATTTTATTCAGTTGTTACTGATTTTATATTTGAACTTTATCAAATTATTTTTATTCATACTTAGAAGACATCCTTCATGGATTTAAAAAAGTGAACTATTTGCTTTTTAGAACTATTAACAGTTGTTTTTTCAGCAAAGGATATTCATGAGGTTCTATTTTTCCCTTATGACAAATAACATGAATTTATTGTGCAATCTGCTGGCTCAGAGTGAGTACTTTGACTTCGGAGAGCATGACAAATGCTTATAGTAGAGGTGGCAAAGTGGAACAAGGTTAGCTTCATGGTGAGGAGATTACACTGTGAATTTATTGACTGATCAACAGATACTAGAAACAGCAGACTGATGAGTTTACATAGACCAGGGTTTGGATCTGGGTTGTCCACTTATTAGCTGAGGGATTTTGGGTAAGCAATTGAAATTCTTTAAGTCCGGTTCTTAGAAAGTTGTTATAAGGATTAAATAAAATAGTGAATGTAGTACAGTGTTTGCCACAGAGTAGGTGCTTATTAGTATTAGTCGATTATTGTAATTATTATCTTTACTGCTACCACAAACCCTCTGTGCTGGTAGGAATGTTGTCTCCAACATCACTAGGGTAGAATAAGAGAGACATGGATTAGAATGACTTGTGTGTTCATAGGAGGCTTTCCTGCTTAAGTGGTATTAATTAGCAGCTCTTGTACAGGCACTGCAGTATTTCAAACTTGGCCACCCTAAGCCAGTGGAAGCAGGCTAAGGAGTGGGAGTATGCGGCACACATGCTGCGGACGGCGCCTACATTCACGAGCAGTAATGCGGGTGAACACCTGCCTAGTCTGTCCCTAGGCTGGGTTTCCTGGAGAGTTTGTGTAGTTCCCAGAGACTGACTTTTGATGATGCTGATACGAATTGATCTGTAGCTTTTTGTAGACATTTGGTACCCAATGTATAAGAAATCTTGCTGATGCATATTTTAACTTTGCCAATTCATTGATTGTAAAATGATTGTAATTTTTCTTTCTTGTGCTGTCTTTGTTTTTAGTAACAAAGTTCTAGTTTCATGAAATGAGTTGTGAATATAACCTCTTTTTATTCTAGAGGAGTTTATGTATTATTAGAATGATATATTCCTTGAAAGTTTGGTAGAATTTGTACTATATTTCTTTGTGAAAAGATATTTAGCTATAACTTTGATTTCTTTAACAACTATAGAATTATTCAGTTATTTCATTTTGAGTATATTTTGGTG